GCCTCCCCATCCCGAGCCGCGCGGGCGCAAACACCTCCCCGCCCCCAATCCGCGCCTCCACGCGCCTGAGCAAGCCGAGCTCGCCGGGGTACACGAAGAAGCTGCGGCGCTTCGCGACCTGCAGCTCGAGGTACGCCTCGGGGAGGCGCAGGCGGCGCACGGCCATGAGCAGGCTCAGCGCGAGCGGCGAGCTCTCCGTGTATCCGTCCGAGCTGTAGATGAGGATCTTGAGCGGCCGGCTGCGCGGGGGCGCGGCTGGTGCCGGAGACGGGGAAGGCGAAGTAAGCGAGCGCATGCGCGGGGGCGCGCCGGGTAGGGGCGGGGGTGAGGGGAAGAATGACGCGGGAGACACAGGCAGCGGGGAACGTCGACCAGCGGCGCGTATCCCTGGGGGTCGTAGTCGCACTGTCGACGCTGTTGCTGCTGTTATGAGCTAGGGCTCCGCGGCGGTACGGGACGCAGACACCGCTCGAGGAACGCAATGACGGGCAGCAGCGCATTCATCGTCTGCGCCGTGTTCGCCGGCGCGCTGGGGAACGGCAGGTGGATCACCGCAGGTCGCGTTCGGCGGCGGCCGCACGGGCGTCTCGCCCTCCCCGCCCAGTGCACGCACCCGCTCCTCCCACATCCCCTCCAACAGCGCTAAATGGTCCTCCGCCGCGCGCAGGTGCGCGAGGCTCGGGAACGGCGCCATCTCATGGCACTCCACGCACACATCGTACCCGAACCCGTCCCTCGGGTCGTTCGTCCCCTCATACACAAACGGATCGTCGTGGCCCTGCCCATCGACACCGCCGGCCCCGTCCCCGCCGAGCGGCACGTCCCCCGAGTTGCCGAGGAACACCTGCCCGACAAGCGGCCGCCAGTGGCTCGCCGTCGTCGTCGTCGCCAGGTCCTCCCGCTCCCCGTCCCCCTCCACGGTGTCCTCAGTGGCAGACGCGGCGGGGGTACCGCGTCGCGCCGGCAAACGGGAAAACGCTCAGAATCTCGCTCGCCCGCGTCAGCTCGCGCATCTCGTCCCGCTCGCGCTGCCCAAAGTCGACCGTGTTCGGTGCGCGCGTGGCGTCCGCGTCCGGGTCAATGGGGACTGCGACGGGCGCGTCGCTAGGGCTGGTTTTCTCGTGTCCGTCGACCTCCATCGAGTGGGGATGGAGGGCGGGGTTCGCGATGAGACTGCCGTTGTGCCACCGCCGCTCGCGCTCCCCGCCTGGGAACACACGCATCATGAGCTCGGGCACCTGCCTCGCGCAGCGCGCGCGCGTCCGCGTCCAGCACGAAGACGTTGTATTCCAGCGGTGCGACCGCATCGGGCCCATCTAGTCATGCGAGCAAACGTCAGCATTGGTTTCTTGCGCGAAAGAAACACGACTCACCCAACCCCTTGCACCTTTCCTTCCTCTTGCGCTCCACCGCGCCCACAAAGCGCTTCGCCAGCTCCTGCAGCGCGCCCGAGGCGAGCCCGCGGGGCGAGTAGAGCACGATGTCCGAAAGGGTGGCGTATATCGGCTATAAAAAGGACGGGAGTTAGCGAGCGGTAGCGATGTAGTGTGGGTAATGTGGGGGCGGGTGAAGGGGGACGTCGGGGTCCCGCGACTGCACGTTCGCGCCGTTTCGTCGGATGTCCAACGCGAAACGTCATCCATCCCCCGCCTCCCCCCACTCCAAAAACATAAACGAAAAACCAACTCACCACCTGGATCCCGAAATTCCTTAACGAAAATCCCGTCCGGCACGCGCGCCGGGCGGAACTCCCACTCTTCCTCCTCCTCCTCCTCCTCACTCTTCTTCTCCTCGTTCCTCTCTCCCTCATTATCAGTCGACGAGGACGAAGGGCGGCGGTAGCGGCACGGCCCCATTGGGCGCGTGCAGCGCGGCGCCGTTGAGGCGCGGGAGGGGCGGACGCTGGGTGGGAGAGGCTGGGTTAGTGCTGTGTTGATACGAAATAAAATGACGAGAAAACAGAAACACCGAAGCAGATGCGGGTATCCCATCACAGGTGTGGCACGGGGGCCGGAGTGCAAATCAGAAAAATAGAAAGAAATGTATGCCTGCCCCGCCGCACGACAACGCCGGGAAACGATAGACGGAGACGGTGAACTCCAAAGCTCGTCCACCGCACGACACCGCCCCGTCCCACCCCTGCTCCGCCCTATTCTTGAGGGTCCGAACACGACGGGGAAAGCGCACACGACCAGGACATAAGCGTCACCGCACAAAGACCGGTCCCGCCGAAATAGAACCAAGTCGCAGGTGCACACGACCACACCCAACGCTAACACGACTGGACCGTTCGACACTGAGCCTCAAGTCCGCGCACACGACCCCCACGCGCCGACTATCTCTACGTGCAGCTGCGACTCGCCCCTGCCCCCAGTGCACCCAACGCCCACCCCAAAACACCCGAAAGGCACAAAGCGCAAAAAAAAATAATCCAAAAGCGCAAACCACAAACCAACGCACCTCCTTCCCCGCACCCCCCACCACCCGCCGTATCAGCTCCCGCGGGCGGAACGTGCACGTCAGCAGCGGGGGGCCTTCGTGCTCCCTTTCGCCTTGTAGTTCGTGTTCCGCCGTCGGGGAGACGGCGCGTCGCTCGCGGTGTCGGGTAGCGTGGCGGGCGAGGGCGGGTCGGGCGAGGCGGAGGACGCGGACGCGGACGCGGAGTATGCGCTGCCGGAGGAGGAGTCGGACCCGGAGTGCGACGGCGGGGGGAGGGCGCTGAGATGGGATGGTCGTCAGCATGGTACGTTTTTACGGATAGAGATAGAGTGAGGACGGGGGAATGGAGAGGAGGAGAGGAGATGAGATGCGAGAAAGGGAGAAAAATGGGAAATGAGAAATGGGAGCCAGGCGCGTCGCAGCGATCGTGGCAGGACTTGCATCGCTCGCCGACCCACGCAGTGCTCCCGCCAGGCGGCGCCTCAGGCAAGAGAGGCAGAAACGCCAACCAACGCGGGAGCGCGCGACGCCACCGCCACCGCCACCGCCAAGGCGCGGGTGGGTGCACGGCACAACTCAGACCCAGACCCAGACCCAGACCCAGATAGCAACCAGAGGCGAAGATGAAGGTAGACCAGGCCGAAATCGAAATAAAGGCATGGATACGGTGTGGGTTTCACGAAATAAGATAGATATCGAGATAGATATCGCAAGAGCAACCGCGAGCCCCATACAACAAGGGTAGAAACCCGCGGGTGCGGGTAGCGCACGTATGTGACGTCCCGCCGTCCCGCGTCGTCCAACATGCCGTGGACGAGTCTCAAGACAACTGCCGATGACGAGCCAAGAGACAATGCCGTAGAGCCAACGAGAACGAGAAGACGAACGAGAACGAGAAGGACGAACGAGGACTCACATTTCCATCTGCACAGTCCGAGTCGTCGGTGCTGCAGCCCGGTGCGCTGAGCGGGAGGCCCGTCGTCTGGAGGCGGTGGTGGACGGGGTGCATGTGCTTCCCGTCTTCGTCTTCGCCCCGGTCTTGCTCTTGCTGGGAGTGTTGATGCTGGTCCCCAGCGTCGACAATGCGCACCCCGTCGTCCCCATCTACATCCATGCGCAACTCATCCTCCTCCTCCTCGCTCTCCTCCTCATCATCGCTCTCCTCCTCGTCGAACTCGTCCCCGTCCTCCCTCCTCAGCAGCGGCGCGGCCGCAGGCGCCGACTCCAAGTCCTCCTCCGCCACAACCCACACGAGCCCCCTGAACCGCGGCAACCGCCGCCCGCCGCCCACGCCGCCCCGCGCCGGTCCCCTTTCCCTCGCCATACGCCCCGCCCGAGCTGAAGAACGTGTTCTGCGCGACGTTGTCGCCCTCGAGCCCGTGCAGGAAGGGGAACAGCACGCCGTCGGGCGCGTGCGCGAGTGCGTGCGCGCGGTGCATCGCCGCGAACTCTGCGGCGGATATCGTGTGCCAGGGCTTGCCCTTGTCATTAGAGGAGGCGCGTACGCCCATTATGGACGGGGGGTGGCGCAGCCCGTGCTCCCCGTCGTGTGGATTATGTGGTGAATGTGAAGGCGGGAGGGCGGGCTCGTCCATCGCAGCGACGACTTGGTCGTTGCAGCTAGAAGGCAATTTCCTTTTGCGGATCGCTCTTCCCCGCTGATGCCTCGTGCTCCGATCAATCCCCGCATCAGACGTCCAGAAGCGTATGCGATGCTTCCTTTCCCTTCTAGAACCCGTTAATTGAATCAATTCAACCCTCCTCAAAATTTCATCCGTTCAACTATCTACTCCACTCCTAACCGGAAAATCTCTGGTCCCTGATTTCTGTCTCACCCAATTCAATCCAACTCAATTCAATCGTCCGTGGGTCCGCCCGAACACTCACCCCAAAATGAACTCAATTCCGCCTGTCAGCAGTGTGTCAATCAGTACGTGAGCGAACTGATGGATAACCGAGCTAGCACTATTTCGGGGTCGATACGGCGACACACGGTATGGCGTTGCCCTGGCAGGCGTAATTCTAATTACTAATGACATACTGTACGAGCCCGAGGGAGGCGGACGGGGTGAATATTTCAGCAGCTGTTCAATGTCGGGCGTCATAATCGACTGCGCACCCCGGTCCCCGTATTCCAAAACTAGAATTCAAGATCCCAGACGGTTACCCTGTTAATTTTATGCGCACCCAGTCCAAAGCGCTAGCAGGCCAAGAAATAGATGCAACAAGGCTCGGTCGCGGACGGTCCGCATCTGCTCTCGTTTCATGGACAGCGCGATTACGCAGACACCGCCTGTTCGACTCAGGCCCGAGCCTTTATGCATACCTCGATGTTTTTTTGTGCCATTACTCCAGAGGACTACACTACATGAGGTCTTGAGTAAGCAGAATAAGGCTCGATAGCGGAGGGTCCGCATCTGTGCTTCATAACGAGTAACAACAGTTATGCAGACATTGCCTGTTCGACTCAGGCCCGAGCCATTTGATTGTGTCATTGATTTTTTCTACTGTTTTTACACTCAGAGGACTACATTACATGAGGTCTTGAGTAAGTAGAATAAGGCTCGGTAGCGGAGGGTCCGCATCTGTGCTTCATGCGCGTCTTGAATTCTATGGCTATTATGCAGACCTTGCCTGTTCGACTCAGGCCCGAGCCATTTCACATCGGTGAGCATATTTTTTTCCCTGTCCATTTGAATTCACACTCCCTTAGATTCGAGTCGAGCGAAACAAGGCTCGGTGGAGGGTCCACATCTGCTTCCTGTAGTGTTTCTTGCAGGAATGTCCATCATGCAGACATTGTCTGTTCGATTCAGGCCCGAGCCGTGATTTTTTTGCCCCTGTTTTTCATTCATCTATCCCTCATAAATTCAAATTTCCCACTCACTTAGGTCTTTAGTTAGTTGGAACAAGGCTCAGTAGCGGAGGGTCCGTATCTGCTTCATATGCATGTTTCAGCTTCCTCTTGTGATTATGCAGACACTGCCTGTTCAACTCAGGCCTGAGCCATTCAGATCTTCATCCTTGCCATCTTTTTTATTTATTTATCACCCTCAGAGGACAACACTACATGAGGTCTTGAGTAAATAGAATAAGGCTTGGTAGCGGAGGGTCCGCATCTGCTTCATATGCATTGAGACAATATTTGAACAGCCATTATGCAGACACTGCCTGTTCAACTCAGGCCCGAGCCATTTCACTTCGGCCAGCATCTTTTTTTCCCCTGTCCATTTGAATTCACGCTCCCTCAAGTTCGAGTTGAGTGAGACAAAGCTCGGTGGAGGGTCCACATCTGCTTTCTGTAACCGCGGTTTTTCATCATGCAGACATTGCCTGTTCAATTCAGGCCTGAGCCGTGATTTTATTTTTTTGCCCCTGTTTTTCATTGATCTATCCCTCATAAATTCAAATTTCACACTGGGTTTTTTTGAGTTAGTTGGGATAAGGCTTGGTAGCGGTGCATCTGCTCTTGATGGCCCCATGTCAACATCCACATTATGCAGAGAATGCCTATTCAACTCAGGCCTGAGCCATATCTCATTCCTCAGATTGTTTTTTTTCCTGTCCATATGAATTCGCACTCCCTCAGGTTCGAGTTGAAGTGAAACAAGGCTCGGTAGGGGGTCCACATCTGCTTTCTGTAGGTAATTCTTGTGGAAACATCCATCATGCAGATGCCTGTTCGATTCAGGCCTGAGCTATGATTTTTTTGCCCCTGTTTTCATTGATCTATGTATCCCTCATAAATTCAGATTTTCGCACTCACTTCGGTTTTTTTGAGTTGCAGTTTATCACCAGTCAATGAGACAGACCAGTCAATGATACAAACGGCTCGCATAACACTAATTCAAGGCACAAGCCTTAGATATTTTACTGGGGGATCCCTTCAACATCAATTCATGTTATATTAGTAGCTTGAGTCAATTCAATGGCATTTGTGTCCTGTGGAAATTCATCTTTCACCTACACCCAAAAACAGTAATTTCGAAATGACTACAGCTAGGGCTCGGCACCGTACTCATATGGTATGGTGATACATATGTACAGTATGGGAAAATACCCGTACTGTCAGCCAACTTGATGCAAAAATTATGACCGTACATATACGGTATGGTCCCGTATTTTACCGTACCGTATACAGTGGATATGGTCAAGCTTCATTTATCCGTGCTGTTCTGTCCTCGGACAGGTTGGGAGTCCTCGGCACTGCTCAGCACCGGACCGGTGAACAATGTGGGCTCCGCGATGATCACTTGGATGTTATTGGGTGGTCTGGAAGCATCGGAATGGCAGTTGGTATCTGCCAGAGAATGGAGGCTGAGAGCTTCTCACCTTTCCGGACAGCTCGGAACTCGTTGTGGCAGGTGAGGCATCCGGTTAGGCAGCGCATCATGTGAACTTCCTTTGTCTCCCAGTTGATCTCTGGACTGTGTTTCTGGAGCCAGGAAGGAGTAGCCGAGGATGATGTGCTGCTTGCCAAGCTGGATGCACTCAGAATGCCCTTTGTAGTTGACCACCATATCAACTATGCCGGAGATGCTGCCTGCTTAGTTTGTGGTGCCATCCATGTTGAGAACTGGAATGGGCTACGAGAGCCGCCGGACCAGAAGGTTGCGGGAGATGACGTACTTGGAGTCGATGAAGTCTCTGGTCGCTCTGCAGTTGACTAGAGCCTTCACTGATATTCAGGCAGCAGTATTGACAGAATGTGCAGGGAGTTCCCGCCCACCTCATAAGGGCAAGGTTACACATCAAGTCCTGGGGAGATACCACACATGTAACACGTAATCTCCGGGGAGACCAAATATGGAAGTCACGGAACAATGCGGGGTCCCACAGGTCCCTGCGGGTTCTTGCAGGACCTCCATGCCACTCCCTCAGCACCACCGCAGCGCCCAGCATCACTTGTACAGCCTTGGCATCGCTGCCCAAAAAGAAATTGTGGCCAGAAGCATTAAAAAACCGAATAAAAAGCGGAAAAGCCCGAGCGCGATCAACTCAGCCTCTAATCCGGCATTCACCGAGCATCTGTCAATCCAAAAGCGGACAGGAAACACATCCACCATGCCTGCCCGTGCCTCCCACCCACCCCGCCCTTTCCTTCCCTCAATCCCTTGGAGTTTTCCTGCTGGATCAAAATATCAATGCATTGGCCGCCCTTGGACGCGCCAATCCGGCATTCACCAAGCATCTAAAAGCGGACAGGAAATGTGTCCACCATGCCTGCCTGTGCCTACCGCCCTCCCCGCCCTTTCCCTCCCTCAATCCCTTGCAGTTTTCTTGTTGAATCCCAGTAGCAACACATTATTGGGTACTGTCTCAATATGTAGGGGAGCAACCAACTGAGGACCGTGACATACCCGTTGCCTCCTTTTTCAGGCAACAGAGGCCACCGTGAGCATGACCGTTGCATCAGAAGGCAACAAGATAAAATTTCTTCCCGCAGAAACAGACTAAATACAGGATTTCTAGCAGTAATCTAGTGCTCTGAAGAGAAATACTGGTTTCCTGACGTTCCTGACCTATTCCCAAGGCCAGGAATTTTTTTCGTCAATGTCACGATTTTTTCGAAGCAACCGAGCTCACCGTTACCGTGACAAAGGCAATACAACGGACGGTCCGTTACCGTGACCGTTGCTCCCCTACACATAGAGACAGTACCCTTAGATGAGTATCTACTTTCAAAGTGCTAGAAAGTGTGGCGATCAAATCACCCCTATTTTCTGATCCCTGTGCTCTCTCCTTAGTTTCCTAATTAGAGGTGCCCTATCTACACATTGGCAATGCTTAGACTGCTAATCCAGTGGTATTTCCAGCTCAAATGTGCAACAAAGTACAGTGATCAAATTAAAAATACCCTGTTGCCCGCTCCCGCTGTTCCCCGTGCTCCCTGCACTCTTCACTCACTTTTACTGTCCTCAGTCTTGTCCATGCCCTTCTAGTACACTCATACCACCTAACAATAAAAAACCCCTGCCAAACTCACGTTGAAACAGTAAAAAAAATGTACAATTGCATTAATCCTGACCCTCCCACCTAGCCCATCACTGCCCTACTGTCAATCTTTGTCCACCTCCCCACCCATGAGTAGCTCCTCATCACTCTCAATGTCTCCCCACTCATTGTCATCCTCCGCATTGTCATTGTTGTCGAGCACATCTCCGTTGTGGAGGGGTCGGACGGCTGGGATGTGGAAACCCTTCCACGTCCTCATTTGAATTCTATTTTATTATGCCTCCTATTTTACATTACAGCATTTGTTTGTAGATAAACATTGCCACATCACAACCTTTCTGCCGCAAACCACCACCTTTGTGACCAGTGTAGGGCACGCACCCAGGAGGGATTCGGTGTCCCTCCATCCTCAGTCTTCTGAAAGTCACCAGTGGGCATTCTAGCCACCCAAACCCCTCGAATCTTGTGTTATGACACCGCCGTCTTTTCACGGCATTTTCCCACTCTCATACTCTGTTTCCTCACCGTTTTCGCACTCTACGGCCTGGGACCAGGTCCCTATTTTTATTCCTCACATTTGTTCCACCTTACACGGACTACCGACCCATCCAAAGAACCTAACAGCCGGGACTCTTACTCCGCCACACCATCATCGTCCGGCTGTGTACCTTCATTGTTGTTCACCGAGATAATTGGATCCCATGCAGGCGCATATGTCTTGCCCTTGGGGAGCTTTCCTGACATCACCCCCCCTCCCCCCCCCCCCCCCCCCCTTGGAATATGGTGTCCTGATGTATGAAGCAGATGGTCCTGTTGCGCCTCTGGAAGGACAGCGAGTTGAAAGCGGCTGAGGCGATCTGGCAGGGAGTGTTGGGGTAGCGGCAGTAGTAGGCATTGATGGTGTCCTTGGCAAAGACATCAGAGTTTTTTACCCACTTATTGTGATCCGGACTGTAACCCTTCCATTGCATCATGTACCAGAGGCTGCCATAGCAGACCCACGCTTCAAGGATCACAGCGACCTCCTACCTCTCCTCTCCGTCCATCTGAAGGACGTGCGGAGGCTCATCGTTCTGAGGGCGTCCGAGGAATGGGTCCAGCTTCGCAAGCTTGAGCTTCACAACCAGAAAGACCGGGTGGAGCTGAGAGTAGCACGGCGGGAGCTTGAGCTTGTACGCACCTTTTCACACAACCTGCACAGCCTTGAAGGGTCCGAGCCGCTGATTGATGTGCTCAGAACCTATATAAGAAACACACAAATAACCCCACTTGACTCGAGAGCGGCACAGAAACAGTCCAGAGACTGTTCCAACAACCAACAAACAAATCAAACGGCAATATATGCACATTTCCAGAGATCCCGACGAGTTACAGCCCCTAGTACAGGGCCTTGTAAAGGTTGTAGGGAGAGGTTTCGTATCTCAAAGAGATAATAGAGCAAACTGCGTAGAACGTGTTTCTAGACACAGTGGAAACATTGTTTCCAAACAAGATAGATTTATAGCTTTGCAGCGTGTGTGTGTGTGTGTGTCCAAGCGACAGAGAAACAAGTTTAAAGTAGTCCCATAGACTCAAGTAAGGCCCCTAGTTTATAGGCCAAGAACGTTCACAGAGCTTTCCCTAAAGAGGTACTTTCTGAGCAACGCCAGCAGTCACGTTTCCAAAGTTTTTCCTTGACGGTACTTTCTGAAACCCGCTCCGCAAACAACAGCAATAACATTTCTTTCAACAGAGTCCCAGATCCAACAGGTTCTCAGAGTTCAGACAGTTTCCAGGCAAAGCCCAAGTGCGTTTCCAGAATAATATATGATTCAGAAACGATTAAGATTTCGACTAATAGTGCTACTCTATAAGAGTGCGTTCGCCGAGGATCCCAGATCAACCCAATGCGCAAGCGTATAGCCTACTAGTTCGGGGGAAGATGCTGTGTCCATCGTAGAAACACCCTCAGATACTTATACAACCGCCAAGACACTGTTACAAAGCCCAAAACACAATCCCAATGAGTCAAAAGTCCGTTTATCCGTCTCTTTAACCGTGTTTCCGTTGGTTGT